TCAATAACTCTGGCTCCCTCCTGTTCCCGCCATGCCAAACTGGTCCAACAGTATGGATGACACTGATCAGCATGCACATTCGAGGAGTCAATATGAGACACCACATTTACTACTGCTGGCAATGCTTCAGATTGAATGCTGGAGTTATCCTACTCTCTCCCGTGGGGCATCTCTTAGGGCCTTCAAATTCGTGCTCACAATAACGCTTGAGCTCAGGACCAGCCGCTCGATGGATTGCGCCATCAACACCGCCACCACCAAGAAGGGACGAGTTAGCTACAGATAAGATGGGCGATTTGGCTCACCAGAAAACCCCCACGAATATACGCATCGCACTACCTGCATTGACAATTGCCTCGACTCCCTCCAGTTTTGTTATATCGGCAACAACGATCGAAACGCGACTTTTGACAGACATAACCGTTTTGAAATGAAATACTACGAATTACAAGACCTTCGACAAGTTATCACATCCTTATTATGAGAGGCAAAATAACGCCTTATCCTTGAAAGGCTTATCCCGTTATGAAAATTGCACACTCTCATACTGCGGTAGGATAATCGTCACCAAATTGGAAGACTCCCCACGGGGAAGCATCCGAAAGAACATCTCGCACTTGACTATAGTAGACCGAATAAATTACACTGTCATTAGCGACAAGCATTCCGAGTCAATTCCCGTTAGTCCGATGAAAGAGCATCCTTGCTCTTTGGAGAGAACCCAGAAGGTGCTTCTCAGCGAGAATTATCAGAATTTCTCGCGTTCGCCCCGAAAGATCTCGCGTTCACCCAAAATTAGTATCGCTCGCCCTAAAATCGAAGCTTTCAATGATCGCAAACCTACTTTAACCACAGCTGCTGGCGACAAACATAGGATACTTGTTTTAGGCCTCTTATCTTTCCAAGATCCTCAATGCATTACACGACTGCCCTCGCTTGCTTCCTCTGCGCTATCGCTCTTCAGGGATGCGGATCCAAAAGTAGTACTACTTCTCGTCCGACACGTGTCACAACTACGACACTCCGCCCGAGCAGTACTACCACGACTAGACCTACCTCTACAA